ACCACATATTTTAGCTAATAAGTTTTATTAATAGGAAATATTTTAAATTATCTTTATTTTTTATATTTTTATACCTGGAATTGAACCCAAGGGTGCTTAACCACAGACCAATGTCCCCAGGCCTTTTTAAAATTTTGAGACAGGGTCTCACTATGTTGTTTAGGGCCTTGCTAAATTGCTGAGGCTGGCTTTGAACTCGAAATCCTCCTGTCTCAGCTTCCCCAGCTGCTGGGATTACAGGCATGAACCACCATTCCCTGCTTGTTAGGAAATCATGATACATGGATTTGGAGGAAAATTCTGTCAATATAAAAAAAATAGTAAGTGCTGCACATAATAATCTTGAAGACAATTATTGAACTTGAACATTTGTTTAGATATAAAACTACTACAAACCATGATTTATTTATTCAACAAACATTTCTCAAAGGCATGTTGGCCAGGATAAGAAAGGGAAGCATAGAGATCCAAGAAGTTGAGTCCAGAGAAGTGGACAGGAACTAGATTAGGCAAAGTTTTGGAGGACATAGGATATTTTTTCTAAGATCATGCAACAGGAGGCCACCAGAAAAGTTACTAATGAAGGGAAGTAAAAGTGATAGGAGTTATGTTTGGAAAATAGAGTCAATACTCTAGGGATTCACTCTAGTGGGAGGGCAGACTGGAAACATGGAGAAGAGATAGGAGGCCATGGCAGTAGCCAAACAAGGGGCTGCAGTGGTGCACACTAGCATGGTGGTGATGGGGAGGGAGGGCCACAGCATGTTGTATTCTCTTCAGCTTGTGGGTATCCACTTTGCTTTTCTTCTCCCTCCCCTGGAATCCCATCCCTGTGATAGCTCTCTTCCCCCTCCCAGGAAGATAGTGAGGGCTGCTCAGGCCCCTGAGATTTTGTACCTTGGGGTTCCTCAGTGGCCCCGGGCTGTTCAGCTTGGCTCCCAAGGAGGTCTTTTTCTCCAGTGAGTGGGTCTGAAGAATGACAGAGCAGCTCACTAATCTGCTCCTGCTCCTGCTGACTGAGGAGGGGACTTGGCAGGGGGCTGCTCTGGTGTGCTCCTCCTGCTTGTATTAACTACAGGCCCCAACCCCAGAAAAGCTAGAGGATTACTGCTCCTGGGGCTCCCTGCCCCCTTCCTCGCCCCAAAACAGCCAAAGGAAAGGCTTGAACTCTCCTCTTCCACAAGTACACACATTTCTGTATTCATGATAGAGACAGAACATATCTTAAACTTGCCTTTTCGGGTGATAAACAGGAATACAATCTACTAGAGAAAATTGGAAAGTACGACCAGGAAGATTTGCCAGGATTCATAATACTGCCCTGCATTTTTTGCATGTTTTTCCAGTCATATGTACTTGTATAAATGCTTAAGGTCATATACACTGAATACGGTACTGTGCATCTTTGGCTCTTTTGTTTTGCATTAAGCTTTTCCTCTGGTATTAAAATCCTTCTGTAAACAATTTTAATATCTGCAAAGTAGACTTTAGAAAAAAAAACATTTTACTTAACCTTTCCTCGTTTATTGGACATTTGGGTTGGTTGTAACTTTTAAGTATTATAAGGAAGGACAGTGAGGAACATTGTTGTTTGTACATCTTGCCTGTAGTTTAGACACTCGCCACCTCCACAAATTTCTAGAAGGGGGGAATTAAACAGAGAAGTTGTGTAGTCAGAAGACAAGAAAGTAAATCTCCCTGAAGGATAATTCCTCCTAAAAGTAGCTCTGCTCCTGTCCCCAAGCTAAAAGATGAGCTAGCCTTTCTCCCTGTGTAGGGACCCGGTGGTCAAACCGTGACTACTAGGTATCTCTGTGTCAAGAATTACCTCTTTTCTCTAGAGACCTCCTTGGATTATGGGCTTGTGAGGCAGCTGGGGCTGTGATTTCATCGGTTTCTCTTTACCTTTTGTGTCCTGAGGAGCAGAGAGAATCCTTCCAGGCCTGGGAGTCTAGCTGGAATGGGCTGCAGAACCACCTAAGCACCTTTGAGCTACAGTCATTTATTTCTCCTTTCCAAGGCGGTTTCCTCATATATAAAACAAGCAAGGGGAAGCAGGAGGAATTGGAGTTCTGTTATTGTTGCTGTTTGAGCAACAGAACTCTTATTTCAAATTAAACCTAGCCAGAACCACAAATCTATGGAACAGATTAAGGTGCACTTGCCCTGTAGACCTGTGGAGGGAAGGAGGGGGACTCCAGTTTGAAAACTCTGGCTTAGAGGATGGAAGTTTGTTCCAGTTCAGTTCAGCCCTCTTCCCTATTGCTGAAGTTTAAAAAAAAAAAATTATCTTTCATCTGTATTTAAATCCTCCAAATGTGCTGATTGATGAAATCTTTTCTCTTCTTAAAGGCAATTTGGAAATCAGACAAAGTGGAGCACAAAGCCATGGATGTTTAGAGAGGGAGTGAGCAGTATGTGAGACACGCTGAAAGGGTGACCCTGGCACTTCTAAGAAGGCAGCAGCACAATGGGCCCTTCGAAAGAAGCAGTGTCAGAGTTTATTCCCCCGTTGGCACCGCCCCGCTCAGTGGGGAGAATTGCTTGTTTTTACCCTCCCTTTCCTGGAGTCCTTTCAGACCAAACTGGAGTCCACAGTGGCTAGCAATTGGAGACCCAGAGTGACCTATGAACAGGTATTTTAGTGAATTCAAACACTGTGAACGATATGAGTAGGGAGGTGGCTATGACAACAGTTTTCTACGACCGCTGGGACTTTGGAGTGCTGGGAGGCAGAAGTGTAGGTTCACCCACCCGGCAGCCTGGGGCTTTTCTCCAACCACAGTTCCAAGGGTTGAAGCCTCTAGGCCGGCCAGTAGGGGTTGGAGGTCTGTGGCCCTGCAATGGGGAGTGGAGAGAATGGTTAGAGGCCCAGCAAGGACGCGGCAGGCCATAGAAGAGCACTGGAGGAAGAGCCACAGCCGCTGCCTCCCACCCCAGGCTGGACAGTGGGGGATGGGGTGCAGGATAGGGATGGCAGTGCATCTTCGGGGGAGGGGTAACACTGCCTTCCCAGGGAGACCCGACCTTTCTTGGAGAGGCGGGGTGGGTTTAGTCTCCAGGATCCGCAGTGATGTGTAAAAAGCGGGCACGACCCCCCGAAGCCTCAGAAAGCCCCCGCCCCTCCCCCCAGGCCCGCCCAGGCCCGCAGGTGAATGGCTGGTCCGCACAAAGAAAGCCGGCTGGAAATGTGGAATTCGGACCAATTTACGGGAGACTCTGTCGCCTAGGGTCCCAACAGACCTCAAGCAAAGAAACCTGTGGTCAGGAGTGGATGAGGATAAAAACAGTGCACCAGGCCAAGCTTATTGGAAAGGCCCAGTTTAGTTATTCTGGGATAGCGAGGTAACAGGATTAAAGGGATTAAGGAAATCACCTCAAACAGCTGAGGAGGGGGTAAAAAAACACTGGTTCTATTTGTTTTCTTCCTAGGCCCCAAACAGATACGCTGGGGCCGTGTGGTCGGATGGAAACGAAGGACCCTTCGGGGGACACACAGGAATGGCCAAGGGTCAGGGACTGGGGGAAAGTGAGGGGGTGGGAGCCGAAAGATAGCTCCAGGAGGCTCGGAGTGAGAGGGAGCCTCCTCAAGAAAACAAGTGCACTGCGTTGACAAGTTAAAAACAACCCATGGGCGGAGTTTTCAAATTTTTTTCAAATCAAAATGTACTTTTTAAAACCAAAGCTTCCAGTGTTGAATGCTCACTCCACCGCTTCTGCTACCTCGCTGAAAATGTATGTATTTCCTGCTGGGGATGCCTGTAACCATTTATTTTTAATAGGATCACTGAGATTTCCGAAGGGTTTTGGTTTTGTAAATATTTCAGCTCGGCTCAAGTGTCTTCCCGCCCCAGTGCACAAAGGTAAAAGTGCCCTTTTTGGTCGGTCGTTTTCGCGGCCGCCAGTGTCCCGTTCCCGCCCGTGGTGGCTGCAGAAGCAGGCACTGCTTCCGCGGACGCTCACCGCAATCAACAAGTGCGCGGCCGCGAGGGGGGTGTGCGCCTCGGCTAGTGTGGTGTCGGCTCCCAGGAGACGCTCGCAGAAGCCAAACCGCTTTCTCCGGTTGAGAATGTTTCTCAGTCGAGAGTATTGGGAGCTGGTGTATTTTTGGATCACGACTAGTTTAAACAAAAACAAAACATTTCAGATCACAGTCGCCTCCCCAAGCCTCACTCAGCCCCCAGGATGGAACCTCAGTTATAAAACCGAGCTTGAGTCCCCTCCCCAACCCGCACCTAAAGTTTCGGGCCCGCAAAATTATCAGGACTCATCATCTTGGTTATAAAATTTATTGTACTCTCATTTAGGAATTAAAAGTAAAATCTTGAAAAACCTGAAAACAAAATAGCCCCTTCCCCACCGCCCAAACGAAATCCGAACACATTAGCGTGACGAAATAGCAAACAGTTCACGGCAGAAATCACCAACTCAACAGCCTAAATGCGGGCTGGACGAAGCTGTCCCCCGGCCAGGGGCAGCGAGGCGGGAGACACACGCACACCTGGCTATAAATTAACATTGGCTTTAGCTGCCGCGCCCCTCGGCGCGGTCAGCCCCCAAAAAACCCACGAGGAAAACAGATGCAACGCGACTGGGGGCGGGGGCGTTGCATTTCTCAGGCCAGCCTCACCCGAGAGCGTTTCTCCCATTCACTCATTTCTCGATTAATAGCAAACTAACGAGACAACATTTTCAAATGCAACAGAAGAACCCGGGGAGGAGGGGGCTGCTTTTTCTTTGCAAACATTACAGCGATTCCCAGCCTACAAAGGGGGAGGGAGGGGCAGCGGCGAGGGGCAGGCAGCTCTAGAAAGTCCCATTTCCGCTGCTCCTGACTTTTGCTTTTGTACAAAACCCGACAGCTACAGCAAAACTTTTAAGTCCTCCCCATCTTCGGTACAAGGCAACAGTCCCAGGCAAGCAAAGCTAAACAACAAGGCGTCCCAACTTGGGGGTGCAGGGCGGGGTGGGGGCGAAGGGCGACTAGCGCCGACCCGAGCTCAGATGTGGGTCAGCGGCACCGTTCCGTTGACCGCAGTCCCGGCGCCCTGGTAATGCTGGTGTACGCCGTGCAGGCGACCGCCGGGCAGCGGAGAAGCGGCGTCGGCCGCGTCCCCGCCGGGTGGCAGGTACATGCTGATCATGTCGCGCAGGTCTCCGAGGCACGCACGCTGCGAGTGCGACGCGATGGCGGGCGGAGGTGAGCTGGGCTCCGACTTCACCACCGAGCCCATGGGGCCCAGGCTCATGGCGGCCGCTGCGGCGGCAGCTGCGGCGGCGGTGGCGGGCTGCTGCCCGTAGGCGGCGGCGGCAGCGGCGGCGGCGGAGGGCGCCATGCCCCCGTAGCCCGAGGCGGCGGCGGCAGCGGCCGCGGCGTTCATGTAGCTCTGGGCGGTGGGTGGCATCATGGGACTGTACTGCAGGCCGGCCATGTCGTAGCGGTGCATCTGCGGCAGCGCTGGCGGCGGCGGCGGGCTGCTCATACTCGGGGGCTGCGCGTAGCCCAGCTGCTCCTGCACTAGCGAGTACGCGCCGTTGGCCCAGCCGTTCACGTGTGTGTACGTGTCCAGGCGCTGGCCCACGCCCACAGGACTGCTGGCGGCGGCGGCGGCGGCGGCAGCTGCGGCGGCGGCGGCGGCGCCGGGGGGCAGCAGGCCGCTGGGCAGGGAGTACTTGTCCTTCTTGAGCAGCGTCTTGGTCTTGCGGCGTGGCCGGTACTTGTAGTCCGGGTACTCCTTCATGTGCACGGCGCGCAGTCGCTTGGCCTCGTCGATGAACGGTCGCTTCTCGGCGTCGGTCAGCAGTTTCCAGTCGGCTCCCAAGCGTTTGCTGATCTCAGAGTTGTGCATCTTGGGGTTCTCCAGGGCCATCTTGCGCCGCTGCCCGCGGGACCATACCATGAAGGCGTTCATGGGCCGCTTCACGCGGTCCTGGTCGCTGCCCCCGCCACCACCGCTTGCGCCACTGCTGCTACCGCCGCCTGCGTTCGCGCCGCCGCCTGCGTTCGCGCTATTCTTGCCTGCGCCGCCGGAGGCTGCAGGGCCGCCAGTGCCTGCTGCTGGGGTGGGTGGCCCCACCGGGTTCTTGAGCTCAGTCTCCAGCAGGCTGTACATTGCCGGGGCGGGAAGAAGGTGCGCCAGCGTGGCGGGAGGAGAAGGCGCTCCAGGGGCTGGAGCGGCCACGGTGAAAAGGCCTGGGGACTCCGTCGGAGGGACGCTTGGGGGCCGGAGGGCCAGCGAGAAGGACAGGCTTGCCTAAGCGTTCCGCGCCAAGTCAGCGGGAACCCGCAGGCTAAACGCACCTGATGCGTTGTCTTGAGCTGGTAGTATTCGCAGCCTGGTCGGGTGTTCGCCGGGCCCCTTTATATACCTGCTCGGATTCCCCGGGGGTTGGGGTTTGGTCCGCCCCTCTCCACCCGTAGGCCCCGTGATTGACAGGCTCACTGTGATGAGCTCTGGCCAATCATCAGCGAGCCCCCGTTTGGCCCAGCTGAGAAAAAAAAGTTGGGGGAGCCCTTTGGTTCACCCCTCACGCCCCTTTTGGGCCGAATAACGTGACGAGAGTTATTCAGGAGGCGGGAGTCCCGGAGACCCGCTCAGAGACCACCAATTAGGGTCTCAAAAAGTTTGAAAGAACGAAACCCGAGGAGGTGATGGAGGGGGGGAATGGGGAGCGCGAGCAGGATTGGGGGGAGGGGCAGAGGGGCGCCGGCGGGGTTCCGAAAACAACTTTGCAACCCTGTCAGGGCGGACCAGCGCCCCATTCCGGGACCAGCTTGCAAAGCTTCCCGCTGTCTGCACAGAGGACCTCCAACCACTTCTGCTGCCAGCGCTAGGGATACTAGGCACCGCCAGTTACCCAGGCGGGCTTGGGGGACTCAAGGCGCAATAGAGGTGCCCTGGGGTGCGCCTCCAAGAAGCCCTCCCTGGAATTGGCCACTAGTTTCCCAGACCCTCTGCTGGGAGAGCCAGTGCGTCCAGGACCGAGCGGGGGTCAGGGGCTAGGGCATGGGAGACAGGCTTCAGTACTGCCGAGTACACCGGGCAGTGAGGATCTCCCGGGGTTGGCGGGAGGGCGAGCGGTCAGCCGCCCGCCGCCCGAGCCTAGCGGAGGCTCTTGCACGCGGTGGAGCGGTAGTATGTGTGGGACGCAGGGGGTGAACCGGTCTCAGCTCTCTCGCTCCCGGCCCCCGCTTAGCGGCCCCTTTTTGTCTCTGCTCTCTGGCCATTTCGGTTTTTCCAGTCCGATGCCCCTGAGGGGGAGGGTCGGGCCCCTTGGAAAATCCGTTTTCATGGCAACACGGAGCCTCTCTGAGTGAAAGAAAAGTTTCTTGGAGAGGGGGACGATGGCCCGAGCGGAGCCGAGGCGGTCCTCCGGGTGGACCGCCGGGCCCCCTCCGCTGTCCGCGCACCTGCCGGGACTGCTGAGAGCCGCTCTCCGCGCGCAGCCGCGCCGCCTTCCCCCAGAGCAGCCTCTGCTAACGGATTCCGTGCTTCTCCTTTCTTGTTTTACAGCCTTCCTGACTGGAGAAGCCTGGAGACTCAGAGCGGGACATTCAGTCGCTTGTCGGGTTGTCTGCCAAAGACTTGCGGCGGCACTGGAACCCCGTCTACCGAGAGAGGGAATCCGACATTCGCCGCTGCCAGCTCAAGCGAGTGGCACAGCGTTTGAAACTCCCCGAGCCGCCCGAGGCGGCAAGTGGGAATGAGAAGCCATCTGGGCAGATGTGGCAGAAACCGAAATAAGGTGTATGCGCAGTGTGGGATCTTGCTTCTCCCGTTAGCCCCATGGAAAGGTGGGAAACCAAAAGGAAAACATAAATCCTAAGCGTGGAAGGAAAAATCCCAGGCTTCTAGTTTTTTTAGCATTAATGCAAAAGCAGACGATCCCGGGACGCCTGCACGCCGGGCTCTTACCCCCTTTCTCTCCTGCACTACTTTAAAAGGAAGCCACTGTGGCTTGTGTGGCGCAGAGCAGGCCAGCCCCCACTTGGTCAGACCGTCTGCTGACACCAGAATCCGGGCTCCCAGCCGGCATCACCCTCCGGAAGTTTGGGGTCCTGAATCCCGCCCCTAAAGTTTGTATTCCACCTGGTCTGAGTCGTCCGCGGCCAAGGGTTACAATCTATTGGATGACTGTACGGATTTAGGATTTTAAAGTAAACTGTCTGGAAAGGTTCTGTGTGGGGGTATATATATATATATATATATATATATATATATATATATATATATATATATATATA